CTGACAGATTCCCTCAATAAAGATATTGGCATTTTATCAATGTCCAGATCACAGTTTACGTAGTACACGCAATATGACCAAGCTTCCTTCCATCACCAGAAGGGACTTCTACACACAAGAAACAAGCTAATTGCCATAAATAAACAGAAGCACTATCAAAATGCATCACAGACTGTGAGAAATGGACCTAGTTTTACTGCTGGGTGGCTGGTTTGGCTCTTTTGTTGGTGGTATTTTTATTTACTGCTGGTTTTTATGCAGAATATGATGGATGCTGCCGTGTCTTTGCATGTTCTTGTGTACCTGGAGCAAAAGGAGTTGGTCAGATGCTGTCCCCAAAGACAAGGCATTTATACCACATCAGGTCAACCCTCAGCAGATGTCTGAGGGCCAAATGGAAACAGTCCCTCTCTTTCTGCAGCCTTTACTTTTGCAGCTCTATACCCGGCAGATCCCCACTTCTCATCAGGCTAAAATACGTGGAACAAACCGCTCCGCCAAGTGATTGAGCAGAAAGCATTCACACTCTCAAACTGTCTTCTTACAGCCTGGCAAATTTCAAGCATAAGCGTTGTTTGGCAGCCTTAACTTTCATAAAACTGCACTCCAAATCATTAGCTTCGTCATATGGTCCAGCTACATAGCGGCACCTGAAGATTCAGAATAAAGCCTTTAAGCCAACTAGCACAGACAGACATTTTTATCTCTGAAGGCTAGGCGGGATGAAATATTCACACTTCCTCCATGACGTTCATTTTTACATACCCTAGTCCTCATCTACCCAGGAGATGTACACAACATAAAATTACAACGTCCAGTCTTCTGCTCATCTCTGTTGAAACCTGCCAGGCCCTCAGTCATTTGCCTTCTACAGCCTTCACTTCTTTTTCATAAACCCCACCCCTTCCACAACACTACCCCAGCATTTTGCAGAGATACAGAAACTGCTTCTGCCCAAAAATACAGAATCAAACATGGAATAAAACGGGACCAGCCCTAAGCCCACCTGAAGAAGTCTGCAATCAAGCTGGTTCTGAAATTCCCCGTGCCACCAACCATCATCCCTACCCCATCTCAAATCACAGTCTAGCCTGCAGACTGACTATGCATGCAGCCGCTCAAAAATGTGGATAAACATACTTGGAGCATTTGCTGTCAGGCTTCAATCCATTGCTCAAGCAACGTTACACAACCAACCTGGTCCTGTAGCCTCCATTTGCACGCTAAACCTAGTCCCTAAATCCTTGCCCATAGACAGTTCACACAGAGACACCCAAAATTTCAGCATTTCGCTTTCAAACATTCAGTCCCAGCATAGAGCTTGCCACAAAGGGTATGGCAGGATTAAAAAATAAACACAGCTTTATAGCACCTATTTTGTGGATTGTTTAGCCAAGCTTGCTGTTGATATCTGCCAAACCCACAGAGGCTGAGGATTATTGATAGATTTACATTCCCTAATCTGAATTTTTGGACAGCCAAGTCCTTAAATCTGCTTTCTTGGATAGCTTTTGGGTTTGTCTGAAAAGTGGGGCTTGTGCTTGATAAAAATACCAGCGGAAACCAAATCCCAAAGACTATATGCCAGCATTATCAATATCAGTATCTTTCCTTTGTTAAGTTTCAAGAAACCTCCAGTTACTTTGTAACTTAGCTTCAGTTTAAATTACAGAAAACTGTAGAAATTACAGTGGACAGTAAATAAAGTAATCTTTCAAAAATAGATGAAAAAATCTTGTTTATATAAGCTTCAATTTGCATATAAGAGAACAAGACTGCTATTGTCATCAGAAGGTGAAGTGTAGGATCTTTCAGAATGGTAAATCTGGATTTCTTTACTCTTCTTACAGGAGGAATTGTAAAATGATCTAAGGAATAAGGCCCAAGAAATATTGTCTGCCCTGCCCATTATGAAACAAAACAAAACCCTCAAAAATCTGTAGCAAACTAGTGTTTTTGCAGTGGAAGCACACTATTCTATAATATATTCCAGTAACTTTTAAGCGAGAATCTCAGGACAAAACAGGCAAACTAGAATATCATTAGTTTATTCTTTCAGTGATCCTGATGGTTAAGTGTAATACTAAAGGGGGAAAAAAATTAATATAATCACCCTTCAGTAAACACATATCCTGCTACTTATTTCAATGGTATTAAGCTTCATGTGTAAATGTTTAGCATGTATATAGAAAACTCCTCCTACACCTTCTACGTTTTTTGATACATTCTGTCTCCGAGGTGGAAGGACACTTTAGGTCAAAGAACATGTGCTACTGATAAACCTACCTGCTTCCTCAGTAGAAACATGATTAAAGTAGGCCTTATTACCTTCAGCATATCAAATAGCTTACAAGTTTTAAATGCACACATTTACAGATGAAGAAGTCTTTCAAATACATTTTTGCCAAAAAACATTCTTTGTAGAGATGATGTTAGTTCTAACCTTCAAGAACAGACATGAAAATCAAAATCTGACTTAAGAATTAGGTTCAGAAGGGAACTGCACATTTTTAGTCAGAGGTTTTAAGTAATTTATAATTCAATGGATATAGTTACTGCCATTAGCTACAGCTCAGCTAATGTTTCAAATGTTTAGCCATTGTGTTTACAAATGTACCACATGGCAAAACACTCCAAATTCCACTATACTTTTTATGCTATAAATCTTATGACATTATTGAATTTTCCTTGAGTTACAGTATTGTACAGTGTTAACATTCCATTCATTTATTGATTGTTTTAATATCATTAACTTTAAACAAGGCATTTTCTGCGGTTACTTAAATTCTCAACAATAACTGGTTTTTGTAAGCATTTTCTCAAAATCTTTAATAACTTTTGTGAGATTCGATCATTTGTTACAAAACTCAACATAAAAATATTTGGTAGGCATCCTCCTCGACCTTACTATATGACATTCATTCAAGCAACCACAAGACAAGTTATGCTTTGCCTATACAGTGCTCATTACAGAATTATTTTACTCAATTTAAGGATTATGACATAATATCATCTTTTGTTCCAACTAGAGCTGCATAGAAAATTAATTTTGTTTTGCCTTGAAAGAATATCTTCACTTTTGATTCAATTGAGAATAAGTCAGCAGTTTCTGATTACAAAATTAACCTAACTGGAAACAGAGGGATGGCTAAGTGGGCGGTACTGGAAATACAGCTGATTCAGGATCTTCTAATGGATTCTTTTTCTATCATTCACCCTTTGAATTGCAGTACTGCCATGTAGTCCCAATACCAGTAACTGTACTAGTTACCTCTAGAAACCTAAACCAATTAAGTTTCTTTTTCAAACATCTTTAAATTAGAATATGGTATAGTACAAGCCATGTATGTTTCTGGCATACTACCTGACTCCCATTCTGAATGTTTAGAAATAATTCCATTATTTCTGTGATGCTGAACCAAGCTGTTTGGCTAGTCCTCTCACCACAGGTCTTAGATCATGAAAGGAAGAGTCACGTCTTGTATGAATGTACTGATGAATTTGATCCTCAAGTCACAAGGCAAACCTTTCCCACCTTTTCCAGTAGAATCAATACTCAGCATTTAAAGAAGTGAACAATAACTACCTATATTATTTTAAAACGTTTGAATTCGTATGAACTGGGAAAGCTACACTGTAATTCACTATAAAAGGTAAGTGGAAATAGCCTTGTTTTTTCATTTTTCTTCTGCAAAACTACATCTCCTGCACTCAACTACTTATTAGGACCTTCTAAGATGTTGGAACTCCTACCAAAAAAAAAGAAAATTACATGCAAGAAGCAACCTTGTCTCTGGAACACCATCCCACAAACACAATTACTCAGTTGGCTGGTGTGTTAGTGCAAGCTTCTGTCTCCTACCTCACCCTACGTGTTTATCCTTAATTAAACATAAAAGAAAGAGCTAGTGAAAACAAGAGTCCTGCCTGAAGATGCCAGCAGTACCATTCCAGTGTCCAGCTTTCTAAAGGTATGCCAAGGACCAGCTCCAAAGAGATCTGGCACCCAGATCTCCATTCAGCCACCTGACCGCTTGCAACATATTTTCATAAATATGCTCTTATGTTTAATGCAAACAATACAACCTAGCTTAGTAAACCCTTGAAGCAAGCATCAGCTTTGTTTTTCCTCTTCATAGAGGTATTTTGATTTGCACATACTTTGATGTCAAGCTTCTGAAATAAAACTTACACCACCCTCCCATGTATAATTACTCTTTTCTGGATTATTCCCATCTTCTACACAGTTTAAACACAGTCCCTGGATTCTCAAGAAGGATGTAGGGAAGTGAGTACGGATTGCATGTTTTCTACTGATTTTTCTCCCCAGTTGAGTTTCTAGTTTAAACACTATATAGATTCCAAGCAAGATCTATAAATCTCTTAAAATAAACTGTCAGAATAAGATTATGAAAACTCCCTCTTCCTGGTGTTCTCTAACCCAATTAAAAACTCCTCATTGATTGTTTTTCTTTCATAATACCACCGGTCTAAAAATACTACCACAAACAAACAGCAGTGAGCCACAGATCATTAGCTAGGAATCGGTACAGAATATTTATCTAAGTGAATTGACACAAAGTGGAATATCATTCTTTGTTTAATTTTGACAGGGAAAAAAAAGTATAGTTTTTGTTGTGTTTTTTAAAGGACACAAAGCTTATTCAAAGAAATCCGCAAAATGCCTCAGGGCAGAAATGACACTGCTAGAGTTTCTCTTATGCTCAGAATGCACATCACAACAAAATATATTTAGTTTATGCATCATAAATATTTATTTACCTATGGCGTAAAAACAGAAGTTGGCTTTCATAAATTTTTGTTTCAATTGCGAGACATGCTAAGACATCTCTCTTTGGCTTACTTCTCTAGTAGTTTTTTTGTCAGGAATGACACACTTGATTGAAATTACATGTATTCCAATTACAAATTCATGAACTACTCTATTAAGCTTCAATAACAGCTCTCATGTTAAATGTTTACCATTATAAAGGTCTTACCTCAAAAATTTCAAAGCCATAGATGTCCAGCACCCCCATTACCTTCTTTCTCACTTTTGTTTGTGCCTTAAAAAAAAAAAATTAAACATTGAGTCAGTCATCTGTATATTTTATACTTGGGAATGAAGAAAACTAATGTATCTCATACGGAGGCTGTTAAATTTTGTAAACTAAAATGTTAAGTATGGTTTCCCAAAACACACTGACTATTTTCATAAGCTTAAAAACAGAGCAGACGGCAATTTGTTGAGCTGTGATACAGTTATTCACCTGTACTGTGTGTAACAGTGTACAACCAGGAAAACCTGAAATTGGCAAATACAGTTTTACTGTCCACTTTAATTTAAAAGATTACTATTGATTTTTTTACAGGCACAAAACAACAATACCTTAATGCTCTCATTGATTCTGGTAACAAGCCAAGAGAACAGTCGACTGTATAAATTCTTAGCCAGAGCATCACGGGCGTAATAAGCCTAAACAGAAGAAAGAAGAAGAACGTTACAAATGCTGGGCTAATCCCAAACTTTATATGTTACTGGCGTATCTTAAAGGTGCTATGAACAGAGTGAGAACGGCTCAGGCAGCAGTGCCTCTGCCTAAGCAGGCATCAGAGGCAGACCAGGGGTGCGCGGACACTTTGGCAGCATTGGCAGCTCGCTGGTGCGCTCCTCTGCCTTCCCGGCTGCAGGCTGGCTGGAACAGCAGCTACAATCAGGGCACTTTGTCTCCCTCCCTGCTCATGTGGATATCCTCTAAAGACTCACCCCCCCGTCCTAATCCTAAGCAAAGGGACTTGAGCAGCTACAGTTAGGGAAACAACATCCCTGCTAGCCTGAGCTGATGAGACACTGGCTCTGCAGCACTACAGAAAGATAAATTCACACTGGCAGCAAAAGTTTTTCAGCAGCCTAGGGCGTACAACTCACATGAAATCACACCAGTTGCTCTAAAGAAAAACAGTCTGCCACAATACTTTCAACATGCGTTTTGTGCAGAACCGTTTCATTTTTTCATTCTCTGCGACATTTTCCTATGCCTCATCTTTTTGAGGTAATTTACACATAAAAACAAAACATCCAGTATATGTGAACACTTAGAAACTGCTGAAGAAAAAACACACTTATGCTAGTGATATGTTTTATTCAGTACAGCCTATTAGTTGTACTTTTTATTTGGGCAGTTATGGTTTAGTCGCGTAGAATAAATTGCCATTTAAAATGATTCTTTCCTTTAAAATCAGGACCTCTTTTTACCTGAGCCACATTTAGTGTTGTTGAAACTTTCTCTTGCTTGGCTTCAACCGTCCGGAAGCTGAAAGCTCTTTCCAATACAGACTGGTCTATACCCGTCAACTCGCAGATTTCCTTGAGTTCTAGCATAAAAAAGGAGAGTGTAAATATAATGACTCCTTTCACATAATTGCTTTTTCCTCCTCAAAACTATCAGCTTAAGTAGTTCAGTATTTTCCTCAAACAGGTTTTCTTCAACAGAAGTGCCCCCCATCCACACTCTGTCCTCCCTACCCTGCCAAACAAAGTTTTTAAAAACACGCACACAGCATGAGGAAACAGAGTTACTCGTTCTGAAAGCACTTTCTATCTGGTTATTTTTGTGAAGAAACTTTTTATTTATCACAGACTACTTTTCATGATGAAAAACTTTCTAATGAAAATAAATAAACTTTCAAAATGTATCAAACATAACCAAATGCATCTGACATTACAGGCAGAGATACCCTACTACAAAAGAACAAAAAGCCTCCGCTGCAGAATAAGCAGTTACAGAAATGCATAGCACCATTTAACATTTCAGAAGAAAGTGTTAATAAAGTGGAAAAAAAGAAAATAATCATTTTTGGAATTTCAAACAGAGCGAATGAAATTGCACAGAATTCAACTCATTTGCCTGCGGGTGAGTTCTGGAAACAATCTAATTTAATTAATCTGTAAGGATATTGCATGTCTACAGAAACTACAAAATTAATAATGACTTCAGACAAATTAGTGTTTTTCATCCCACCACTAATCTCATCTTACCATTTTTATCTTTGATTTTACTTTCATCTAGGCCATTCACGCGAGATTCAGGCTTAAATTCAATATTTCCCAATTTCAGAACGGCTGCCACCACTTCAAAAACAGACTGTGTTTCGTGATCCATAAAACCAACAATCTGCATTGCATTCTGGAAAGGGGACAGATAAAATTATGAGATAAAAGAATCTACATTTAAACAGATCATACCTGCAAACTTCACCATTTAGCTGTATTAGCATAAATTCAAAATGTTTTGTGAACACTTTTGCTACAAAAAGAACATGATATAATCACTATGCTTGGATAAGATTTTTTAATATGAAAGACAGGTTAAAGAAGCTCTGGTAATCAACCTGGCATGTCAGTCCAGTCCACTTCTAGGATTCATTCAGTTTATGGGTTTCTAAAATGCAGTATGATTTTTTTAGCCACTTAATTTAGTTTATAACCCAACCCAATTTTTCACAGTCAAATGAACAGGTACTGCTGTCTTCTCAGTCCACTTTGTTGCTCTAAAAGCCAGTAACTTTTAGAATCTAAATTTGCATACATTGGGTAACAGGGTCCTGTATTCTTCTTGTCCCTGAGTACAATCAAGCAAAAACATCACGATAAATCATCTTGAGAGCCATCCTAGCCCTGTTTTTCTTTTGACTTGATCAGCATCACCTGGTTCATGAAGCCCAGTCACTGCCATCATAAACAACTACCCAATATAACCTTTTCCATGATCTGATCAAAGGGTCTGGGCTTTTTTTTTCTTCCGTCTTTTTTCTTCTTCTTTTTTTTTTAAAATCTTTTTTGTATTCCTACTAGAATACTCCAGAAACTTGGTTCTTTGTATTTTCTAGTTGTAGATAAGCTTCCCTGTGCAAACACACTATACCCTTGCATGAAGAGTGCTAACACTCAGAAAAGATGGCCCTCCCAGCCCAGCCCAGAGCTAACAGCCAGACCGAGGGCCCAAGAACTCTGCATTAGAGTTGAGCCCTTTCAGGTTTACAGCCAACCTCTGTTACTTCTTACCCTAACTGTTCTGAAGTTTGCAGCATCATCCACTCCGTTCACTTTGGCAGAATCAAGGCCCAGATAGTTGTATCTGCTGAAGTCCTGCTCCAGTTTGAGTTTGCCTAATAAACCAAATAAAAATATCATTAGTAACAGCATTCTTGTTAGTAGCTCTTTTATCCCAGAACCAGTATTGTCAAGAACTGTTGTTATTAGTAGGATTAAGTTTTCTTCAAGGATCTTTTAATCACAAGCCTTCTGAATAAGAATAGGCTTTCTTCTTTGTTTATAATACATTGCAAAGCCAATTCTGACTCAGATATCTCGGTAATACCAAGCCATATATTTACTTCAGGTATTACTATTGCCACTATCACCAATAATTTGAAAAATGAATCAATATCACATTTCCCACAAAAGATGATGTGTGTGGAACAGCACATTAAATATAAAGACAACTCTTATCTGAAAATGGCACAAGGGCAACACTTACAGAGGAAGTCTTCTGATGCACCAGACAGTATCTGATAGAAAATGTGAAAGTTTCTTTCACCTCTTGGCTGCTTAACAACACGAGACTTCTCTAGCAGATCTAAAACAAACAAAATCTCACAGGTCAGGGAAAGATTGTTGGAGCAAAAGCCTTTAATATGAACATAATCCCCCCACTGTTTTCTACTTCATGGCTTTCTATCAGCAGCAGCAATTTAGAAGGTGATAAATGGTAGGCACAAACCTTATCACAGTGTATCACATTAGTACATATTTCTCAAGTTTGAGCAAGCTGTAAGCCCAGTACACTCCTAAATGCTGCAGTCTATGAGCTGCAAAGAAAACTCAGGTCAGGGAGGCAACATGCTCAAAAAGATGTCAACCGATTTACAGTACCAACACAAAATTAAGATCTGGTGAGAATGATTGTATGGGTGAAGGTTTGAAAAGAACTGAAATGTTAACAGGCTAAGCTCATGAAAGATGGGTAAATGAAAGGGGGAAGCCAAATAAAGAAAGAATTTAAACTGAATAATCATGTAGCACTTTGTGATCCTCAGATGCATCAGGCCATGAAATAATTCCCAATGGGACTGACAGAAGCTCCATCATAAGACACTTAAAGTGAAATGGAAAAGCAGCACTTTGAAATGCATCACTGCACTGATTGAGTAGTTTGACAAGAAGATCGCTTCACCCACCGCCGTTAGTGACGGACACGTTTCTAAGCCTTACCAATAAAAGTAGGAATCCAGGCAGACAGCAGAAGTGGACTGACTTGTAACACATTGCAAACACTTTAGACTACTTCATATTTATCACGGAGGTGACAATACAAAGGTTGTTCAGCCTGTACTGCACTGAAAGGCTGTGGTCCCCAGTGCACTGGGAGAAGGATGCGGTAAGACAACTTCTAGGCAGGTATCGGTGTAACTCGCTGTTTTTGTACAAAAACCCGCAACGTTTTTCCTTCTTTTCTCACTGGCGCATGAGGGCTCCACACCATTTTTCCACATAGCAAACCCACAGTTCCTAGTATACAGTTTCTCTTAAGCTACATAGGTATTCAGTGACATGAAGACAAAGACATTCAGGTCCTCACTCCAAGTGCACAGCAAAGGAGTTCCCCCATGCACCTACCACAACGTACCCACCACAGCGCTCTCTGACTGGGGTCAAGTTCCCTCTAAGCTGTGCCCAGGTAAAAAGAAAGCCCCAAAAGGGAAGTTACTGCAGCTTGGATGTCACTCCTCAGAAGAGCTGCCACAAAGCTGAGATGAGGTTTCACCAAGGTAAAACACAGGGAACACCAATTCATTTAAGGACACGAGGGGTTGCTTAACAGTTCCCCTGCCTGGCTACTACAATATCCAACGTGTATTCTACTATACCTTGCCTCAGGTTTCCATTTCTGCCGCCACTGGGCCTGTTTAGTCTTACAATCTGGAAAGTTAGAGGCGGCGTTTGCTGCAGCCACCTTTGTGCTGCCAAGCCCGCTCCAGCCCCGCCACGGAGCCGCAGCTGGGAAGCGGGCGCCTCTGTGCCGGGCTGCGGCCCCCGTGCTGCAGCCCCCGCGCTGCGCCGGCTTTCTGGCACACCAGGGCTTAGCCCGGGAGGGAGCGTCTGCTCCACGAACAGAGGAGTGCAATAGAGTGTGTTCGTCTTCTCACGAGCTACAGGCAGCGCCGTGCGCCCGTGTTGCCCCCTGTAATTACCTAAGCTGACACCCCTTCCCGTGGAATAGGAACCAAAGACCAAACTTCAACCCACAAAATTATACAAGCCTGAGGAGGCCCTCCAAATAAACTACAGCAAGACAGATTCGAAAATTAATTTCTGCTCTAATAATTAGCCAGTGACAACAATGACAACATCCAGGCAGTATTATTAATCTTCTGATTGGCTCATCGTAGGACAAGTTTCAGGCATTTTAGAGACCAGCTGAAGTATGTGATTCTATAAACATGCAATTGCCTGAGCGTAGAACTGTAACCAGCGCAGCAGGTGACAGTGAAGAGAGTTCCCAATGACCGCAGCACCTGACTGTATGAATACCTCTTCACTTCGTCTAATGCGCTGTGTGACCACGTCAGAACTTTGGCCTTGTCTGAATAGACATTTGTATTTTTATAACTCAATAAACCTACAGTCCTTTTCCTTCCAAAGGAGGGCCTGTTTCAGCACCTGGAAGTTTTGCACATCCCGATGACAAAGCACACACAGGATACACCCAGACAAGTGGCTGTCACTTATTGCCAGCAGCTCATCTTTACATTAGATGGGGCAGGTTACAGATTTCCACTTTTCCTTTTTCCATTTTATTGGCTTTTTTTTTTCCCCTTAAACACAGATGACTAGCATCTGATGACTGACGCTATGTCAGAAAGGCACAGATCAGAAGCAGCAGCCTGGCGTGCAACCTCTCTGCTTCTGACTTCACCTAAGCTTGGGGCTCCCCTCCTTGAGCTGTGGTTCAAACTCTGAGTCATCCTAGTTAGTTAGCCTAACTATCGGATACCTGATCCTCTCTAGTTTTTAATTCGTAACTGAAAGGGAGAGGCTGGTCCACCATCCGAGTGTTAATACTTGGGCCGAGAAAGGCAAGGTGAGCGCCAGGCAGTTCAGAGTCACGCTGGCTGTGAAGGTTCTCCGGTGAAGTGCTGGAACGGATCACAGCCAAATTTAATCTCAAAGAAATAAACAACTTCAGCTCCTGCAGTGGCTAAACACACTTCAGGAAACAGCTGTATTTTCAAAGGATATTGAAGCAATGCGGTTTGGCTTATTTGGGTTTAAAAATATTCTACATACAAATTTACTCAAATACGGTCATAAAACCTCAGCTACATATCCTGGCAAAATAGTACATGTAAGCCTTCTTCTAATTACATGCATGCCTTCAGCAGATTTAACAAACAGTTTCTTGAACATATGTCAAATTAGTTATGTTAGAAGGATAACCGTTTTGGACTTTTCACCACAGTTTATCTTATTTATATATTTTTAGAAGCAACAAGGTTAACTAGTTAACAGTCAGCTTTCCAAAGTCCCAATATGGAATATTCTGCCAGCCTTCGTAATTGAGGAAAAAAGCTCCAGAAAGCAGTTTCTGACAGAAAATCAGGTATTTACCTTAACAAAGCAGCTGCTACCAACTCTTTTTAAAGCTGTATTCATTCTCTGGTTTTTGTCCTTTTCTTTCTGTTCACATGCAGACTGAAAGCAGGCTGGTAGAAAAAGATCCAGACCATCTGCCCTATTCTTAAGAAAACTTCATCCCTTTGTTTGCCCTAATTAGCATTTTAATAAATCAACCAAATACATTTTCCATAAAGCAACTACTGCACAACCAGTAACTTCTGTATTAACTCTCACCTGATTACAAATTCTGTGGATGAAACAGTCAAAAGAGAAGATGCAAAGATGTGCATTAGATTTCTGCATGCATCCACTTGGTAATTCTGTTTACAGTGACATGTGTGGGCAGATGGTGCTTATCTATATGAAAACCCACACAAGCAAAAACCCCAAAACTCTATACATATTACATTTTGTTACATAGTCTATATAAATTATGTATAGGGACTATACAGAATTATCTAGAGAGAACATACAGAACTACACATGGTGTATTTATGGATTAGGTATTTTTTCTGCATTATCTAACAATGCTTCTGCTTGAACATTTAATGTTGCATGTATCAAAGCAACTGTAAAAATTAAATAGCTTCAGAAAGGTCCCCCGGAAACACTTCTTAAATCATATTGTCTGAATACCCATGAATTCAGATGACTCAAAATCCAGCTACGTTCCTCAGGTTCTGAAGATTATTTGTTATTCCTAGATAACACTGGTTTAAATGCAAGAGATCTCTGCAAGCATCCTGCTAAACCATTCGACTGAACTCAAAAGGAGGAAAAAGAAAAAAAAAATTGATGCTGAATACTTCTGCAAACTTGAATGTACAAATTTACATGACTTCTTTTTGGTTACTTGACCCAAGAACTTGACCGATGCAGAAAAATTTAGGATATTTGTATTTCTCTAAATATACTAGAAATTGAATCAACATTCAGGAAAGGAATAAGTAAACACTAAAAAAAAAAAAAAAAAAAAAAAAAGACACTACCTTGGTACATTCTGAATAATCCAGGAAAAGTTTATTTTAGCATATAGTCTCTTCAGCTGGCCATGACCAAGGACCTTTTTAGCTATTTGACCAAAGTTACAGAACATTTCCTAGTCACAGAAGCTTATCTCTACAGCCGCATTATGTTAAATTATGTTTTTTGTTTTTCTACCTTGATTCTTCAGCTGCCATCAAAAAAAAAGTCACTGATGAAAAAGAAAATACAGTAGCGGTTCCTCAGGAACTTTTTCCCATTATTCCCACCAAGTTTATAATAATGTTCTCTTGAATGAAATGATCCATAATTGTATCAAACAAAAATTACTATCCTGGCAGTATGTGCAGTGAAAATACAGTGATTGCACGATTTTAAGAGTGTTAAATCCTGATTATCCAAGTGATAAATGATGTTGAAAAATGAGCTAGTCAAAATGTTTAGTATTGTTTGTTTTGTTGTCTTCTTTTTTTTTTTTTAAACGCTTCATAATTTAGGCAAGGCAATTGCCTAAACGGTGGCAACTGTGTTAACAGGAACACCAAGGGAGATGTTGGAACAAGTTGAGATTAAAAAAAAAATTAAAAAAAAAAAACATTAAAAAAAAATCAATAATTATCTCTTTCCATAATGTCTAATTGTAAAATTTCTGTAATGTTTCCCTAAGATAAGGAGCTTACCAACAGCAATCACGTAACTAAAATCAACAGCTTGAGTTGTTGATTTCTCAGCAAGTGGGTAATTACTTTTGTCTTTTAAAATGAACAAACAAGTTGTAAAGAAGAACAAGTTGTAAAGTTATCACTATCATTTTGCTAACTTAAAGTTGTTGCTTTGGATAAACACCATAGGTTTCTTTCATGTTGTTGTTGGAAAAGACGGCAAAACAGGGCCCTTTCTTAATCACTTGTTATTTGGAATTTAAGTACACTGGGCTGGTTAAAAATGGCTTTTCGAAAGCAGGCATTACATATCCTGTACTTCACCTGCAACACTATTGTCTTCTAGTTAATCATTAAATCACTGAAGGGCTTAGGCAGATTAGGAAAGCTCACCTAATGCTAAAGCTAGGTATCTTTCAGCAGGAAATTCCAGGCAAAATGTGAAAATTTAAGACTTACAAATATTCTGGGAAAGATATTGTAAGAACGCTACTTTTCAAAAGGTCTAAACAACTGCAACTGAAACATTTTGGACTGTACTATGCAAAACCATTTCAACCATAAAATTTAGCATACACAAAACCAGTCACAAAACTAATGAACCAAGTGTGCATACAAACATTGCCTTGAGTACACAACAGACGCAGCATCTGCAGAGTGTCGTATTTTAGAGCTGTACAAACTACAGCAATTAGCACCTATTACTTCAAAAACAAACATACCCAATTTTACATAAAATACATATTATTCTGTAATTACAGGTGAAAAAGAAACTACTATTCTCCTTTCTCTTGCTCTTATCCCCACTAACACAGTAGTTATAATAAATGGAAAACTAAGACTAGTATCGATGGCTTCCATAACTTATTTCCACAATATTACACCCAGGTGAAAGCAAGTTAATTACCCAACACTCCAAATGCCTTTTTTCACAAGTGCTCTGGAAAAAAAACTCTGAGCACGTAAGCACTGACAAGACCGTTCACTGCAACGGCAGCAACCATAAACACCCTGCAAGAGGACAGAAAAAGCAGATACACTTCATACTCAATTCAGTGAGAAAATGTAAATGCAATTTATCTGTTTGTAAACGCATTTTAAAGCGGCAGCACACCTTCAAGTGGGGACTGGTATTTGTTACAAAAGAGTGGCGGGATGTCTACAGTCACAGGTGACAATACAGCAAAGGTTTAGTGTTCAGGAATGCCCACAAGAGTAACTTGGGCTTCCTAACCCCACGCAAACAAAACAGGTCAGCCCGTGAATGGATGGGCTGGCTGTTAGCTAGCACCAGGACTGTGCACCTCAACTTACAGAGATTCCAGCATCTCCCATCCATTAGGAAAACAAGCTGGGACCTTCACAGAAAACCAACAAAAAGGGAGGACTTGAACGACTCAGGCTTACTACATACCTCAGCTTACTCGGCCTTCTTCATCCTCCTGCTCACCCCCATGCCTCAGCTGCTGCCAACGTAGGATCAAACAAGTACAACACATGCTACCTGAAATCATTTTTCTTTTGTAGTCTAAGAGGATAAAATTCCTGACTGAAGTAATATACTTAAAGTTTGCATAAATCACATTCATCTCAAATTTTCCACTCTCAGTTTCTTTTTATGACTGTACGCCATGATATAGCAATAGGTCAAATGCCTTAGAAATCAGTGCAGTTGGAAGCTCTGAGCAGCCATGTAATGTACATGTAATGAGTCTATACATATTTTATGTTCAAACATAAAATCATCCTCAGTTTGGGAACATATCAGTTCTGACTTAATAGGTGTTACAAACCCCTACCACTGCAATCCCTTCCATTTTATTATTCCCATTCTAATTTTACTCAAAAGATCTACCCTTCCATTTAAGGCATGTTAAACATTTCAGACCTATCAGTTCCTGCTAAAGCCAATGGACATTTCCATTCGCTGCAAACTGGACAGGACAGACATGCAGTATGCATTGTCATGATAATTTTACCCTCTAGCTCCACCCCATGAAAGGTTCACTTGTAGGTTAACCCCTATCATTAAGAAGTAAGAGGTCATTGAAGGGCATCAGGAGAATGGCCCAAGGGAAGGTCACAATAGCATGAGTCGCTGCCTGAAGGGTCATGGGCAGATTGACTAGCCTTTCACAGAGCTTCATAGCATTTCAGAGTAGGACAAACCAGACCATTTCAAAGATGACATTTTAGCTTAATGGGTCTCTGCTTATCTTTACCAGTCTGATAAAATTAGTAGCTTATCTTCATTACCCTTCTTGCCACCAAAGTAAACTAGATGTTCACTGTGTCTGCTCCTAGCCACTCACAGTACAAAATCCAGCTTGGTGACATAGGCTGTGGTCCAAAAAGCCCGCTAACTTCATCGATGTTTGGAAAACAAGCTTGTCAGATACAACTATTAAAGTTTAATCAAAATATTATGATATCATCCTCACATCATATTAACACCAAACCAACAGATGGTCAGAAAGCAAAGAATATTTATGAACAAACTAATCATACTTTCCCTTTTAAGGGTAGGAAACTTCAGCACTACTTGACTTCCTACTTGATGAATTAAATGACAAATCCTAAATTTTACTAAAACCAGTGTAAATTTTAAGTGGTGTAAAAGAATTTAAGCCCCCGATATCTCCAGAATGGTGATACCTCACAACAGAAATATTTCCATTGCAATGCAGTGCTGCAGATGTATAGAAAAGATCTGAGGCAGGACAACAAACTTGCTTTAAAAGTATACAGAATTCAAACTCTCTTTTAAAGAGAGATGGATGGACTATCAAATTTTGCAAACATTAAATCAAAGATGAGATATATTAACACGCAGCTACAGGAACTCAATATGTTTACCTGTGACATACCCTGTCAAGTACAGGGCGTTTCATAGTTAAACAAGTAACATCTTTTCCACAACAGGGCTTACGCATAAGGTCTTTATTTTTAAACTTAAAATCACCTTCTTGCTATTAGATATTTATTAAATGCGAGAAGACAGGGAGAATGCCTAAAATAGGCATCTTTAGGAAGATCTAAAAATATGCTGCCCTTGATTGCATATGTCATCACATCATCATAATTACATGTAATGTTATAATTACAACATGCAAAGATTTATAAGGCAGATAAACTAGAGAGTAACTATTTGGATCGCCTTTAGATATGACAGTATTTTAATTAGGTGACTCAGCACAGTACTTTCAAAGACAAACTGTTGAACGTCCACTCTACAAAGGAGGGTTCATTTTTATGTATCTATCTTGAATGTAAAATAAAAAGAAACAAACGACACAGCTAGCCTGCTAGAACCTTTTTGTTCACATTTAATTATTGATGATTACACTGAGTATGTTTGGCCTCTAATTTCGTTGACTGCCAATTGTCAAAGTTAACAGATAGCCGTAAACACTTAAACAGTGACTGCTTTGAGTTTCAAGATCTACTGTCACAAAAATCATGCTCTTTCAGGCACAGTTCCAAAAGGTGACCTGGTCCAGAAAAAATGTTTGCCCTATGAAAAAAACCAAAACCTGTATTCATGTATAAAATTCTTCACAATGTTTTAAAATGTTTATATTATAGATGGAGAGTACAGTTCACCCTGGATGATTCTCATTATTTCACCACCAGTAAAATGCCAATGGAGTCAAAAGTCAGTCTTTAGAAACAGCGATGAATTTGACTGAGTGGGAAGAGAGGTCAAGGCTAGGTCAGTGACACCTAGTATAGTCACTCACTGCACTCTCCATCCCTTTTTAAAAATAAGAAAAACAAACAAACACAGCTTTATATAGCACAGAAGAGCAATTTCTTTTAAAAGCTGCATTTAAGCTCTTGAAAGGAAAGCAAGTCAAAGCATCCTCGGCTAGCATTGACTTCCCGGCCTCTTTCTTCCCAAGAGAGAGCTGTTTAAAATTTTTGAATTGCTATAGATTTCATAGCAGTATCCTCACATCAAGTCAACCTCTGAGGCCACCTTTGCCTCCCTGAACTCAACAGTTCATGATAAGCTTCTTCCTACACTATGAGATGTGTTAAAATTAGTACAGAACGCTTTGATTCCAAATAAACATACTCACCTCATGGTGATCTCCAGCATACTTTGTATCACTCTTATGAATTACAAAACAGCGTATCTCAGACATTGTCTACCATAAATACATGACCCATTAAATAAAGTAACACAACAGATTCCAGGGATTCAAGTATAAAAAGAGCCTCAGATACCCTTATCCATCTGCTACCAGTTTCAGAGACAATATACAAACCCACACACACTACTCAGTACCTTTGGAACAATACAGTACATTCATTATTCATGATTACTTCAAGTCTGTTTTCACTTACTCTAAGGTACGCTATTCAGCACCAAAACAACAATAAAATTAAAAAGCAGCATTTATCACATAATGGGAAGAGATTCGATTAGACAAGCACAGCTGATCTTTTCAATAATTTAACCATCCTTTTTGAACAAAACATTTTAAGCTGTTAATATGCTGATACCAAAAGTAATACTCACAGTTGCTTATAACTCCTCCAAGTGGGTCACCCTTGAAATCAAACTCAATATCCATGTATTTTCCCTGTGAAAGTAGCATATTTTAAGCCTATAACTTCTGCTTAAGAAAAACTGCTCAAGACTTTTTTTAAGAAATTGGTTGGTCATTTTTACAGGCTAAAAGAGCAATCTGGCAACTTCCTGTACACTCCATCAAACTTTGAAAAACAGAAAATTATTTAAAGTTTCTAAGACAACTGTATTATCACAGCCAGAGATTTTCATGAGAATAGCTTTAATCGGATCTGTAATGCAACCCAGTAATTTGCTCAGTTTCTAAGGTTATATGAAGAAAATGTACGTTATACAAACTTTCACCAGAACGCCAAGAATACCAAACAATACTTGTGGCCATGTAGCTATTACCATACTTATTAACGGAAGAAGGCAGGAAGAAATTATCTTCCACTCAGACTTATTTTCTCAGTGTAAAATCTTCTTGGAGCATGAATCAAGGCAGCTGAAGGATGGCCGCTCAGTTTGGCTTGAAGGACTGGCTGGCAACGATTAGTAATCGTGGGGCGTCTGTCCCTAAGCACGTGCCTGCCTTGTAAAAGTGATGGATTTTTCCCACTGAACTCTTTCCCTTGTAACTCAGGAGACCACAGGCAACAATTAACAGACTGTCACTGCAAAAGTGATTTCATTTTTCGCTGTACTGGTGCAGTGTGTTTCCTTGACTTCTGTTTGACTTTTTCACATCACAGAAGATCGCTCTGGTCTTTGCATCATTTTAATTTATATGACAAGTGTTTAATGGAGTAACAGCTATGTTTAACAGCGACAAAATGGACAGACCCATACTGTGTAGAAAAGGCAAAAGCAGCACAGCTCACATTGGCAAGGAAGTTTAGAAAGATAAAAACTGCTGATAGTAATTCAACCAAATTCCACAAGCCATGCACAGAAATCATCTCACCACCCTCTGGTGCTTACTTAACAGAGGACTAAAACAACCTATTGAAAAGAGAAGTCTTGTGTTTATACTTCCTTATTCACTGCACTTAAGAAGAGTTTTCTTTCTTTCTTTCTCTTTTGATTTTAATTACAGAACATAAACCCCAAGCACTTTACATTGACTCCCTCAAAGATATTTTCTAATTTACTGGGTATTTTGTCAAGATTGGCTTGACTCTAAACTCTATTCTTCTCCTTGCTGGCAGCTGAGGCAGACTAGACAGGACAGTACTTGTACTTTCTTGTTTGAAGTTAATTCTGAGCTGATTCAAATTTCTGAGATAAAGAATTAAATCAGATAATTAAATTTTAATTTCCCAAGGACTGGGCCAGCTGGATGTTTCCAGAAGTATTTTTAGCTTTGTGTTTATAAGCAAGGACTTGAAAGGCAAAATAGTAGTTGGATGCACTTTGTCCTGGAAAGACTTCTGTTTGCAAATGGCACCTCTTCTCCTCTTCACTGTCTCCTCCTCCTTTCTGTAGTAGGTCATCTGTGATAGTTGCATTTTTTCTACCCTTTCTATCCAAAAGAATTTTCTACAGTGCCTCAAATTTTGGCCCTGACCTTGTGATGAAGACTCTTTGCTCTGTTCACAAGCAGGGGCAATGACAGCCACAGAAGGAACATTCATAGCCAGGCAGAACGAGATCATCAACTCTCAAGAATCAGAAGGGAAGGGGAGAGAAGTCTCCTATCTGGAAAAAAAGCCACTCTCCAGTGTCACAATATCCCAGACTTTTATCCATTTCCTTTTACTCGCAACACACCATTTTCCCAGTGTACTAATTTGTCTTCTGTTGTCTACTTCACACATCTCACAATATGACTCTTCTACACAAAAGTGAGCAAATTACAAAGTTGCACTCACTCTTCTGATTTTAGCAGGAGAAGCTCTAATATTAGAGTATTCACACTTCAGAATCTCCCAACTCTAGCTTCAACTTTTTTTTTTTTTTTGGCCAATTCTCAATTCCTATAATTTCACGTTCAGTTTCATGCTAAAAAAGCCTGAATTCAACCAGTTGATTATAAAGGATATAAGCAAAAAAGTAACATTACAAATGCTTATATTAAAACTGAAGTTGTAAACATAGTTTGAAACATCATAGAAAGAAAATGAGAACCTAAAGCAGCAATTTTAACAAAAAAATGTATACGTATGGATGAAAAATGAGATCACGCAGAAAGATTGACTTGCTAAGCAGACCAGTGGCTAGGCACATGGTCACTGACACTAAAGCCACCAGTGCCAGAAAACCAAATAATTCGGCTGCACTGTAATTATTTTTCATCCGGTCACAGACTGTCACATCCTAATTTTTTTTTTTCTTTTAGCCTCTACTTCGGTTCTCAATAGAACTTTATGCTCACATCAGAAACCAACAAGATTTCTGACAAGGAGGTGAAACATCTTTTAAAAAGAGGGGTGACTGCTAATAATGCACAACTAACACACTGTGGAAGGAGAACATGCTCAAATGTACAAAATGAAATATTGATTGCTGCTGAAGGTGTTTGCCTTCTCCAAACACCACAGTCCTCAGACAACTACAGGAAAGTTCTCTCTCCAAATTACTCATTCCCTCTGTACAGATGCCTTGATGGCTGATGCAAGGTAAAACAGAAATAGGTAACAATGTAACACGCTCCCCTAAAAGGAATTCAAATTCAGCCTTGAAGAAAATACTTACAAATCTAGAGGAGTTGTCATTCCTCACAGTTTTGGCATTTCCAAAAGCTGGAGAAAGAGAAAAATAAATATGACAACCAAATCTATCAGAAAAAATATGTAAATGCTAAAATACCTATGACTATATATATTTAAGGGAAGCACAGACTTCTGAGAAACAATACCCTGTTCGTTGTATGGGTATCAGTCACTGCGGATAGACGGAGTGTGACAGACATGATCACAAATGAGAAAACACCTATGGAAGTCCAAAGAAGTTTCATCTCAACACTTCCTTTGTTTAAAAAACGTCAAAGAAAAACATACAAGGGGAAATGGTTCCAAGACAAAACTACACCTGGATTGAGCATATATCCTTGGGGTTGGAATCAAATTAAAAATTTTAGTACCCAAATAATTCTAAATGTAGGAAATACTTCTTTCTCTTCAATTCAGAGAAAGAAATGAATCTTGGTTCCCAGAACTGAAGATGGTAAAAGATGGAGGCCAGAGTGGAGGAAATTACAGAATGACACTTAAAAATTGTTTGCATGGGACAGTTTAATCAATGCTTTGAAACTGATTTATTTACGCTATTCCAACACATTTATCGTAGCTTAAGCTGAATATTAATCAGCTGAAATAAGTCTGATTTACAACAAAAGTTTAACACACTCTCTTCAGCTTGACCTAAACTAGCTTTTTGAATAGTTTGGTTTTAATTTCTTGAGCTCAAGTTTTCTGACAATGAAAACTCTCCAAGAAAGGCCTTCTCAGGGCTACATTCAGATGGGCAGCCACCAGCTTAGAACATAGGCAGAATAAGAACTCAGACTGGATGACAATTCAAACTCTAAACATCACACATCGTCAAAGCACGTCAAGTCAAACAAGAGTGTCCCTTACATTATTAAGTATAGCACTCCTACGCCAATAGGAGACTTTATTTATCCCAGTATTTATTTATATAGCATAGATATATTTTCAAAGATCAAGTCAAGTCAATGTTTTTTGGACAGAAATAAATACATGCTTTTAGGCTTCAACAAACGTGCATGAGTAGACTTATTCTTGATCAAAGAAGTGAAGCCAAAAGGAAAAGTTTGTTGCCCCTGAAGGCCAAGGATAAGTGAAAGAATTGTTTTTAAAATCTTTATGCCCTGCAATAAATCATCTTTTCAACAACTGAATCTCTGAGCTGCATTTTCTTAAAACACATGCTGAACAGTAGAGTCATTTATAACTGCACAGAATCAAGCACAAGTGTTTCATTATAAAGCATGAGACACATTCCTCAGTTTTCCCTTAAGTTCATTGTTTCTAAAAGTTAATTTACAGTAGCAACTGTAGTTAAAAAAAAATATCTCGTAAGATAAATTATGCATATGTAACATTTCTGTCATTTTCTTGCACTGCAGCTTGACTGAAACAACTACATACCCAAAGAAAAATAAATCTAACCACAAATGCTTAATTTCTGTCTAAAATGTATATAAACAGCCAGGCTTGCTCAGTGGCCTTATGGAATAATCCACTGCCCTGTCTTCCAAAAAGCTAAACAGGCAGTTACCAGCACACCAAGTAGAACAAATAATACCTTAAAATGATAAGGCACTCTTCTGTAAGCTTAGTCTAGTTCTCTTGCATTAAAACAAAGATTCACAAACCAACAAGAAATCCAATGCATTCGGCAATCCCTGGGGAACAATCTAGCTTTGGCAAGAAAAACCTCCAGATTTCTCATACTATTTCTGTCTACATCCGAAATCTGCCTTCCAGAACAGTGATAAATGCAACACAGCTCTTCTCTAGGAATCCAAAACAATGGAAGATTGCAATCCCCCTATTCAGCTTTAAGTGGAACATATCTGATCATCAAAGAAAGGCTTATCCAGCATTTTTATTATTCTTAAATTTTAACATTTCATCATTTCTCTACAAGTCTTGCTTACAGTTTTAGTTTTATGTACAGTCAATAATCACATTTTACCCACCCGGTTCACCACTGTTCTCAGCCCACTTTTGCATTCCCCTCCCCTTTTTTTATCCGCCGCCCCCCGCCCCAGCTTCTCACTTATAGAGTGCTTGCTCCCTATAGACTCCAAATCATCACATATATGTATAGCTACCTAGGCAATAAATAAAATGTTGACACTCAACAGTCTTACAAACACTGCATATCATCTGGCCATAATGCAAAATTATCGTACAGCAGTCATGAGAATTTGTCTCAGCACCACAATAGCTTAGAGAACTGTGGGAAAGACTGAGCCAGGAATCAAGACAATAGACCTAAATAAGTCAACGCTAACCAAAGCACTTCTGAAGGCAATTATTTGACAATGGGACAAAACTGCAAGCTTTGAGGATCATATATCCTATCTCCAGGAAAAATGAAGATCCTGTTTCTGGCAGCCAACATCTTTAAATTAAAATGACTAATTAAAAAAAAAAAGTCTTTCATGGAAGAGCAGGAAAGGCAGTTGTCAGGAAGACGGGCCAAACGAGTCACCAGACCCAGGGAACAATAAGTCTCAGGGAACAATAGGCATGCATATGGATTGGCTTAGTTTTTTCTAAGATGCATTTCTTCACCCTTTTTTTTCCTAAAAGAAAAATAATCCTTTACAGAGCTTGTTTGTTTACTAGAGACTATAATAATGTAATTTGGAAGGAAATGAATCAGACGGACTGAACCGAAGTTAAGTCTTTTGATACAGTCAAGCATCATCAAGGCAGGGTTACAAAAGGGTACGCCCTCAGACAGCGGCAGGAGGAGTCTGGGAAACAGGACCTAACTTCCTAAGCTCTCCCTTCACGAGGGAGACAGTTTTCTTCTCAAGAAAACCTCTCCATAACTGAATAAAATCTTGTAGCTGTCTTCACAAAAAGCATCTCCTATGGTTTTGGACACCAAATAACAATGAAACAACAACAGATACAGTTTTCCAAACCAGCTCAGCAGGAATGCTGATACACACAGAAGTAATATGCTGGTACACACTTTATGACATTCTTACCTTCAAGAACTGGATTTGACTGCAAAAGTTGTTCTTTTACTTGATTAACTTCTGCCCCTTTTCCGCACACTGCAGCTACATATGACATGACAAGTTTGCTCGCCTCTGTGAGGGGAAAGCAAAATAAAACAGTGGTAAGTATCGGCAAATAGGCCATAAAATGATTTGCAGACTTCATCTCCATCACATTTTCACCATGCCAGACAGGAACTGTAAGCACATTTCATTTCAGTTTTCTTCTACGTTGTTGTACCATCTGGAAGTGAGGGAAGAACATATCCCGCTATGAGACCGATGCCATTACATCAGCAGCCCTATTGACCTAGAGCCCTCCCATGCTAAAGATATAATACATTACCCGCTACTTTTTCATTTAGCCTTCATTTAGTGTTCAGTAAGGAAAGAACATTACTCCTAGCTGACACGTTGGAAATGTTTTAATCTAGCCTGAAAAAATAGGCCCAAGCAGTTTCAAGATGCAAAATTCAATCAGTTTATATCAGCAGATACACAATACCACAAGTGTAAACATACAACACTATACACATGTAATTAGAACTCTAAAGTGCACTACAAATAAATGACTAACTGCAATTCAACATCACATAACATTACGCAGTCTGTTTCAAAGTATAACGAATAAAGTGAAGCATTCATTTAAACAATGAAACGAATTTGAAGGTACAAACTTTTAATAAAGTCTGAACAATTTTTGGACTCTCAAAGCTGGGTTCATATGGGTGTCAATCACCCATACACAGACAGAAACAAATAAATAATCCACCCAACCCTTACGTTTTTGCTGGCCAGGACAAAGAGCAGCTGAGAAAGGATTCTGTTTATAAACAGAGTCTGTGATGTTTAGTATGACGCAAGATAGTGAAATTTGAGGCAGTATCAGCTGATACACAATGTAATTACTAACAGCTGGAATCCCTATCAACTCAACACAGTGGTCATAAAAAACCCATTAGGTGTTCTTCAGAGTTCTGTTACAAATTTAAGGGTTTCCTTTCAGGAAAGAACTAACAAACAATAAAGTTAACCCTTGGATTTTAATGCTTTCCTATTTAATCAAATTTGTTTGCTTGTATTAAATTAGTATCCCATATTGTAGAGAAAACTGAGGAAAATTGCAACACAGGAAGCAAGCAAGGAGCAAGAACTATAGGCGTGTCCACAAGCCCCCCCATCTCCTTTAATCGCACCTCGAACTCAGCTCTTTTTTTTTTTAAGAATCCATTCCCTTCTGAGCTTGAAATTACCAAATTATTTGATTTGAAATACTTCCTAAAACAGTCAACATCTTTAAGTAGAGCTACTCGCTCACTTGGAGAAGAAAGCACTGAAGCAGCAAATAAGGTATTATAAAATAATATGCATTAAGACAACACACAATAACTTCAAGATAGGCTTTGAACATCACTGAAAGAAAATAAAGGCCCTTTCTTTTATTAGGAACTTTGTTTGGTCCAATAAAGACACCAGGAAGGGAATCATCACCTTAACATCTAAAAACATTTAAATACAGCACTCATTCTGGTAATGCACCATGTTTTCTTGCACAAAGTTACTATCGATTAGTAATATAAACATGCAGTGAAAGAAGAACAAAATTTGAAGTAAATAAAAAACCCAACTGATGACAGTTCAGTTTCAATTATTCCAAGCCCAAACGTGCCAAATATTTTGGCTACCAAAAAAATCTACAACAGAGTTATATAGGATCTGTACTAACAAGTTTTATTCCTCAAATCCAGGAACTTCCTCCCTGTCCCCTTTTTTTCCGCAACAGAAACCTGACTTCTCAGATAATAGCCCCATTTCAGCAACAGTAGTTCCATCAAATGTTAGAGAGAGAATAGCACAGATTCCAAGTCGATTATTGACTTGAATTTCAAACCCTATATTATTCCACACTTACCTTTATAAAGAAGGAATAATTCATATTAGGTCCCATATGGCTATGAAAATTACAGAACAGTCAAAATCTCTGTACAAGTCTGCATCTACCAGAAAATTCTCTACAAATAGATGTTCAGAAACTCAACCACTGCTACAGCTTCCAACTGAATAAATAAATGAATAAAAGGTGGACCTCAGTTGTAGGAGGTGCTTGATAATTCACAGTTCCTGAGGAAATCAAGACATTAAACAATACCAGTACAGAACTCCCTTCTAAAGTCTGAACTCCTAGACAGAATCCCTAACAATCATAAGAACTTGATTATTTTAATATACACTTTTACAGAACACACAAGCATTTTCATGTTATTGAACTGAAAAAAAGGATTATATTACAAGATTTCAAGACCTCTCAATTGGATGCCACTAGTCAGACAAAGAAAAACAAAGATGAAGCCTACGCTTTACATTTTCACAAAAGGCTTGGAAAGCAACTTCTTGTTACCCACTTTAAGTCTTGCTCAGTGTAAGAATACAAAGCTCCACATTTTCTCAGATACAAAGGAAAAAATCTCTTAAACTACATGGAAACAGATGTATACATTCCTACCCACTGTCTCTTATGCAAGTCACCTCAGCTTTGAATTGTTATTTCAGAAAATAACTGGCTTCTTTCTTTAAGGTCTACCTAAAATGTTCTGCAGTTACGCAATCCTCACTTGATTTCTACCATTCCAGTTTAAAAATTAGCAGTCATTTTCAGGGCAATTTCAGCTTTGCCTGAGAAACACAGTGTTCTGGTACACAAGCCAATCTTAGAATTGCAGCTGAGCACAGCATGCAAAAGACTGATGAAATTTCCAAAGTAATCAGCTACTGTTTATTTTCTTTGGATCAATGGCATAATCCAGTTTAAATGTATACATTTATTAAAAGACAGGCAAAAGTATCAAAAGATTGTCTTCCACTCTAGAAGGCCAAGAGCATTCAGTTTTTTCCATGTTTCCCACAGGGAGAGACTAGAAGTTTTCTGGCCCTTGCAATACTCTATCACAAACCAGCATTATTTTAGTATCACTTTGCATACTGCTGAGCATACTGTATTAACATGCGATATGACTGCATCATGGTGTCAATGTGATAACACATTAGTTTATGTAAGTACACACCTACAGCAACAAGTATGACAGCATTCATTTTCTGCAATCGCCAGACACAAAAAGATACCAATATCTCTCAACTCTTACAGACTCTAGCATCAATTTGCAAGACTCTGAATAACTCTGAATGTTTTTGTATAAGATCAAAACTGTGTATTACCTGTTTTTCCAGCTCCACTCTCTCCTGTAATAAGGATACACTGGTCTTTGTCCTGGTCCCTTAAAGATCTGTATGCTTCATCTGACAGAGCAAAGCTGCAAAATAAGAAAGAGTCAACTGAGAATTAGATAAAACAATAACTACAACCCGGCCTTCACATTCAGGCAGGAAAAACCAAAAAAAAACCAAACCAGTAACCAAAACCAAACAAATACTCCCAAGTCCTAATGTTCTATCACTCGTGAAGCATTCACTTTTCAGATATAAAGACCCACAGAAGCAAAATGGATACTTTTTCTCAGTGGCTTATTTAGACTTTCTCCAGGAACAAGCAAGCATAATCTCTAAGTTTTTCTAAAGACAGCGAGCTCCAAAAAAATTCACAAAATTTCAGGGAAATTTAGGTAGCATTCTTCATTGAACAAAATGTCATACTCTTCATTGAACAAAATGTCAATGCATCAACAGGACGTGTTCTGTCTGAAGACATTTAAGAAAAAGGAAACAGCAGAATCCCAAGCACTAACACCACCATAAGCTGTTGTTTCTACTCTGAAAAGTGTGAAGAAATCTCAGAACCTTTGTCGTGGTTTAACCCCAGCCAGCAACTAACACTGAGCATTTTAAGCATTCAGGTATTGCTGGACTTTTGCATTAATATGCAAAGCGTTTCCCAATAAGTATGCTCTTAACTCAGTAAGGGTGATGTCATGTAGTGAAATTAAAGAATATAGTAAGAATCAACAGCTTCCCTGTACCAAAAATGTCTTTCCATGGAGCTCAGAACATCATGACCCCAAAACTACTGGGAGGAAATTTGAATCCAGAGGTGTTTTGTTGCCATGCTGCAACATATGTTGGAGAAATGCAGATGTGTTACTTATATTTAGTTTTCTTTAGTAATAATTTTGAGACAGAGAAAATAGTGTTGATTTTGTTTCAACTGCATTTTTCAGTTCATGGAATAAAGGGCTCTGGAAACTGAGCATTAGAACCCCTTGGAAAAACTTAAG